ACCAAGATGTATATCCCAAGAACGTCACGCTGCAACTTATACCACGTGGCCAATGGCACACCGCGCAAACTCCCGTGCACATGAAACGCGTAATTGAAGAAACTGGCAACGAATATATGTCAACGTCCAAACAGTCCATTTCGTAGTACACTCTATGAACAAATGCTTCCGATTTCACCTGGTTTGACCGCATTCATCTATCAAGTCGCCGATAGCAATGAATTAACTTTCAAACCGAATCACCACCGATCTCGACAAACATGCGAACAACGATTACCGAACGAACAACCGGTGATCGTGCGATCTGTGATTCTACGGCGTCAGGCCTACACGCCCAGCAGAAGTCGGATCGCGTCCTATCCCGAACAGCTGCTACCAAAGGCGCGTGGGATGACGGGGGGCCGAGGAGGAATCGCGTGGGGGGGCATCTCGTGGGGGGTTCGAACGCCGCCGTCAGGGGCGCTGGGCGGGGGTGGTGGGTCGCGTGATGGGGTTGGTTCGGCGCGCCTGGGGCGGGGACCGCAGCGACCAGGAGGAGGAGGAGGAGGAGGAGGAGGCGGAGGAGGCGGAGGAGGAGGAGGAGGAGGAGGAGGAGGAGGAGGAGGAGGAGGAGGATGAGAAGGAGGAGGAGGATGAGGAAGAAGAAGAGGAGGAGGAGGAGGAGGAGGAGGAGGGGGAGGATCACGAGAACTGCCATGCGCGACAGCCGCGACGTCCTGCAGACTTGCCCTTCGCTTCCGAGGACGCCGCGCCCGTGGCTCTGTCACGGGCCCTTCCTCGGTGCTGCGGACCGCCTCGGACTTCCTAGCGCGTCTGCCCGCGCCCTCTGGGGACCGCCCATCGGCGACGTCGAGCCCTTGGGCGGCAATCGCAGGGGGCGCTCGCCCACGACTCCGAGGGCCCGCGAGCGCGGCTCGGCCTGCCGACGTGTGGCGTGCCTCGCTCGACGCGCACAACTCGTGCTCCGAGCGGCTGCCCGCGCAGCGCTTCTGCGGTCTCTTTTTTCCCCCCCCCGAGCGGGTCACGCGCCCCCTGCAACAGCCAAACCTCGCGACGCTCGCAGCAGCAGCAGCGCGTGTGCACTGTGCGTGCAGTGCTCCGCTGCTCCCCTCGGCTGTCAGAGCGTGTGCGCGCCGTGCTGGGCTTAGGTTAAGTCAAGCTACCATCGGCCTTGACTGGACAGGGCACGCGAGAGGACACATGACCCTTCCGAGGGCCACATCGCCATAGGAGTGTAAGAAGGCACGTGTCGCGAGGCACAGGACACGAGGGTACCCTTGAGTTGTCAGGGTCGACCTACTAATCTGGGCCGACTGTAAGAGTGCGCCCGGACCCCCGACCTTACCAGCTGGAGCAGGCATGCGCGTAACACAGCAGCGCGTTGTCTTTGTGCTGGCTGCCGCAAGCCGGGGCATACAGTAATGAGGGGCCCGACCACAAGAAACCTTCCCCAAAGAGACCCAGCCCCGAGAGCCCCAGGACGCCCATGGAGTTTTGGTGTGGGAACGTCACGCCTCCCACGGCAAAACCATCGGAATCTAAGAAACCCAGGGCACCACCGTAGGACGAGGAGGAGGAGGTGGAGGAGGAGGTGGAGGAGGAGGCCGCAGGACGAGGAGGAGGGGGAGGAGGAGGAGGAGGAGGAGGAGGAGGAGGAGGAGGAGGAGGAGGAGGAGGCTGAGAGAGTAGGGGGAGGAGGAGGAGAGAGGAGGAGGAGGAGGAGGAGGAGGAGGAGAGGAGGAGGAGGCGCTAGAGGAGGAGGAGGAGGAGGAGGAGGAGGAGGAGGAGGAGGAGGAGGAGGAGGAGGAGGAGGAGGAGGAGGAGGAGGAGGACGAGGAGGAGGAGAAACAGGGTGTTTCTTGGCACGGGCCTCCACCGGTAACACGCCAGCGAGGGCCCCAGGAACGGCCCCTGTGGCCCCCACGACGGCGCCGCACGCGGCCCCCCTGTAAGACGCCGAACGAGGGCCCCAAACGGACGCCCAGGAGGCAGATGTGATTTCCGACTGGTCTCTGAATGACTTGGGCGTTCGCGCGCTTTCGGGAGCCTGCTTCTCCTCCTCCTCCTCCTTCTCCTCCTCCTCCTCCTCCTTCTCCTCCACCTCCTCCTCCTTCTCCTCCATCTCCTCCTCCTCCTCCTCCTCCATCTCCATCTCCATCCTCCATCTCCATCTCCATCTCCACCTCCTCCTTCTCCTCCTCCTCCTTCTCCTCCTCCTCCATCTCCTCCTCCTCCTCCTCCTCCTCCTCCTCCTCCTCCACCTCCTGCAGGCCCACGATGGCCCGAAAGGCCCCGCAGACTGGCCCACAACGGCCCAGAAGGGCCTCAGGTCGGCCCAGGAGGCCCCGCGAGACGGCAAGACCTACTCAGGAGGGGGAACCCGCAGGGGCACCTGGAGCCCTTCCACCACAAGATGGCCCCGAGACCCCCAACTTCTCCCTAAGACGCCTCCAAGAAGCCCCCAATCTTGTCCCCCAAAGCCCCTGGGAGTTTTCAATTCGCCTCGAGAGGACGCTCACAATGCCTCCCAAAGGCGCCCAAGAAGCCCCGCAACAGACGCGCAGGAAGAGGACGAATCAGTAACTGCTACACGCAGGCAGCACGACGGGGAGTGGTGAACAACACGCGCCCACGCACACGAAATCGGAAGCCGCTGATCTCCTCTTCTTGAGTCGGCGAAATGGCGTCAGCCTCGTGAGGAAGCAATGCGAGCAGAAGTTGTCTCCATTTCCGATCTCACTCCAGCCAGGTATTGTTTCAGGTTTTGAATGATTCTCAAGTGTCAGCCAGAGTGGACCTCTAACTCTGGAGGAGGAAACTATGCGGTGGAAGCTGTGTGGTGAGAGCTGCGGGGGTGACAGGCATGCCGTGGAAGCTGTGTGGTGCAAAGCTGCGTCGTGTCAGCTGTGCGGTGCGAGCTGGAGATGACCAGTTCTGGGGCGCAAGCAGCTGCGAGGTAAGCTGTGCTGTGCAAGCTGTGCGGTGCAAGCTGTGTGTGGTGTGCCAGCTGTGCGGTGGAAGCTGTGTGTGGTGTGCAAGCTGTGCGGTGGAAGCTGGGTATTTGGAAGCCGTGCCGTGCCAGCTCAAGGGCATGGGGCAGCCACGCGGCGCCCACGAGACAGCAGAAGGGCGGCAACGCGGCACAGCGGTGGGGAGACCAGACGGTGCCGATGCCGCTGCAACCCCCAGACCCTCTCCCCCTCGGTGGGTTCCGACCAGGACTTCGAGGCGCATCCCGCGGTGGTGACGAGGGCCGCCAGGAGGCCCAAACATAGGGGGAGGCGAGCGCAGGGCAGAGGGGTATGGGTACCTTTTTGTTCCTCCTCTGACCACCTCGGGAAGCGCATCCAGGCTTAGGTCGGGCATGTCCCCCCTACAGAAGGATTTTGGGCGAGAGACCAAACATACTCCAAAGATGCCCCCACATGGTCGAGCATGCAGCAACATCGTCCCCGGCCGATTCTTCGACCGTCTTTGGCTGCTCCTCCTGCAGCGGGACGTGCCCGACTTCACACCCAGGGCGCACGGAGCGCCCAAGAGGGTGCACGGGGCGGCAGCTCGGCACAGCCTCGAACCGTCCCACCCCCCCCAGGCCTCTCTGGGCGCCCGGCGGGGCGCCCAGAGAGGCGCCCACGGGGCGGCAGCGCGGCGCAGCCTCGGCGCGCAGGTCCCGGGCGCCGGGGCGCCCGCGGAGCGGCAACGGGCGGCGGCCGAGGAGACCCCGCGGGCGGTGGCCGAGGCAGGAGGAGCCTGAGCATGTTCTCGGGGCGGAGGGCTCCGGGTGGGAGCCACATGGGCTGTGGCGCCTCGACGGGCAGTCCGTCCTGTGGTGCACCACTTTTGCAGGTTCAGGCCTCGAGCGTCCATCGAAGCGGCAGTTCGGACTCCACCCAGTGCCCTCCGCCCGAAGAAGATGCTCGGGAAGTAAGCACCCCATACAGTAGGGGCTCGACTGCAGGAAGCCCTCCCAAAGAAGCCCAACCCTGATATCCCAGGGCGTACAGTGATGTCTGGTGGTATGGGATCGTCACGGGCTCCATAGCACAACCATCTGAATCCAAGAAGCCCAGGGCACCCTGGAGACAAACAGGGGGTTTCTCGGCATGGGTCTCCACTATAATCAAGGACAGTAAGCACCCCTACGTGCAGGCACAGTTCTGGGAACTAGCAAGAAAAGTAAGCACCCCTACGTGCAGGCACAGTTCTGGGAACTTCTCTAGACACCAGATGCTGCTCGCGCGAGAACGACAGGAAGCTCAAGAGAATTGCCCACGCTTTAGCGCAACATTTTGTCAAGCCGCCCCCCCACCGGCCCAAAAGAGACACACTAGAAATCAGGATCCCGGGAGCTATGAATTCAACTATGGCGTTCCGATAATATTACATGCTTTATAGTCTCGTCCTGAAGCAGCACGTGGCAAAGAAAACGATAACTGCACTTTGCTGAACGATGTGTGAAGTTGCGCTGTTCACTCGCAGAACGCGATTTTGCGTCAGATGGGCGATGATTAGTTTTGAACATCGGAGGAGGATCAGTCGCCGCAAGCGTCTTCATTGATACCACTCGAGCGTGTCGCTTGACACGGTAATGGGTGAGATGCCCTGACAGATAGGTGGTCCTGTTCTCTGGCGCGCACCGAAGCTGATCTAGATTACATTGCCCCGCGGGGCCACAACTGAAACGCGGCAGCCGAGCAATAACGCAATTGTGCGTGCACGGCGCGGCAGCTCGCATCGAAGCGCGGTGAGAGCAGGAGCTGTCAACGATCCTCTGCGGTTCTCTAGCCGGGAATTCTCCTAGCAAGCCTGCGCCCAAGCCGTGCCATCCTCCTCGTCCTCCTCCTCCTCCTCCTCCTCCTCGTCCTCCTCCTCCTCCTCCTGGGAAAAAAACCACCGCCATGACCTCAGGGGGCCCGCTATCGGGTCCCAGGGGCATCAGGCAGTGATCTGGGGCGGAGCACTGCCCCCAGGAAAGGGTCGCCTCTCGGAGAGACCGTGCGATGGTGGCCACGGACGACGTCAGCTGCAAAGAGGCGGAGAAAAGAAGCGTGCAGAAGGCATCGATACACTACCATCATGCCTGGTCGAGGCCATGTTGGGCACCGGCCAAGTGTATGTGCCGTCCTGGCCTCTGGAAAGAGGACGGGGGGAGGATCAGGCCAGCCTGGCGTCGCACCGAAGGGGGCAGTGTCAGGGGGCGGCCTTTTCAGAAGCCCCGCTCCCCTCCGCCTCTCAGGAGCAGGGGGCCTTGCACTTAGAGTTAGGTCGGGCATGTCCTCCTACGGGCGGATTTTGGAGGAAAAATAGGAATAGCCCAAACAGTCAAAATAAATCAAAAGAGCACGACAAATCTTCACCAGACTATTTCTAAACTATTCTCGACCATTACTCCTGTGGAGTGACATGCCCGACTCAAACTTAAAGAGGCCCATCCCTTCCAAGAACCCCCCCCCCGCCGCCTTCTTCCAGCTCTGCTCCAGGGTGGTGTGACCTTCCAGACCAGGCTGGCCGGACGCAGTGGAAGCCCAGGCGCCCTGGGACGTGCTGCGTAGCATGAGGTCGGGCAAGTCTTCCTACAGGCGGCTCCGAGAAGAAACATAATACATCAAACAAAGGACTGATGATAGTCAAAACGGCGCGAAACCTCGTCCCCAGACGTTTTTTGTCAACTCTGCTTGACTACTCCTCCTGTGGAGGGACATGCCCGACTCATTCTCAGCCCCGCCTTCTTCCAAGGTGCTGGGCCTCTCGCACTGCTCCCGGGTGGTGTGGCCTGCCAGGCCGGGCTGGCCGGACGCAGCGGAGGCCCAGGCGCCCTGGGACGTACAGCGCACTGTGGCATCCGGTCGGGCATGTCCTCCTACAGGCGGCTGTGGGAAGTAGCACAGAAAAGAGCCAAACAAATGACCAAGAACAACTGGTCAGGAGTGCACGGGACATCGTCCCCGGACCATTCTGTTCAGCTCTTCTTGAGCAGTCCCCCTGCAGAGGGGCATGCCCGACTTGAGCGTAGCAGTCACGGTGAAACACGAGGGAGCTGCCAAGTCTGCGAGCACCAGTCGTTCCTCTGGCGCGTCTGCTTGCAGACCTGCTGCAGCTGACGCAGCGCCAGAAGGCATGCTGGGACACCTCACCAGGGCACCCGCCGCCATCTCAATACGAGCTTCGTCTGAGGCCCTCGCCGAACCTCAGGGCTCCGGAGGCAAAGTGCTTCTGGGTGAACACCACGAACTCCTCGAAGCCGATGCTCCCGGTGCGGCCCGAGTCTGCTCGGAGCCAGAAGGAGCGCATCATCCCTGAAGCGAGGCCCCGTGGCACTTTGCCGCACCTGCACAGGAGAGTCTCGAACTCGCCGCTCTCGATCCTGCCTGTGCACTTAACGTCCACCTCGGCAAACAGCCTCTTGTACCTCTCGGCCTCGTCGAGAGACATGCCGTTCTCTCTCGCTATCCTGCGCATCTCGGCATCCCCCAGGGTGAGGTTGAGGTCCTCCTGGAAGCGGGCGTACGATCGCTGCATCTCTGCCGCCGGCGCTTCCACAGCCCGGGCCAGGCGGCGCAGCTCCACGAGCTCCCCGCCCCGCGACGGCTCCTGGGCGACGGAGCCGTGGCGGCCACCCACGGAGAGCTTCGAGACCGACGCCTGGCGGCTGCGCGAGAGGGATCTGCGCTCCAGGCCTGGTGCCCGAGGAGGAGGAGGAGGAGGAGGAGGAGGAGGAGGAGGAGGAGGAGGAGGAGGAGGAGGAGGAGGAGGAGGAGGAGGAGGAGGAGGAGGGGGAGGGAGGAGGAGGAGGGACCCCGTGCGGCGTCCACCGCAGCCTCTGCCAGCACCTCCGGAGCGCTGGGCGCGCGCGCAGGGGCCCCGCAGGATGCCTCTGGGGCGCCCAACTGCGCCGCCCCCGCGGGCACCTCGGGGGTGGGGGGCGCGGGCCCACACCCCCGGCGTCGTGTTTTTTGAGCAACCCTGAGGTCCTGGCGTTGCCATTTTTTTACAACGGGCGTTTTCTCTCGGCTTCGGGCCCCGGGGCCCTCACAGATCGATCCGGCTCGAAAAATGATGCAGAAAGATGGGGTCCAGGGCTCTGGGCGTGTTTTTCTTTGTTCGATGTTGCATTGTTTTGCAACCTCGGATCTCCGGGAACGTCGACCCCCAGAGGTCTCGACCCCTTCCCCGGGACCGGTTCTTCATCCCGAGCTGCTTCTGGACGGCCCCGAGGCCTGGCGGGCCCCCCCGAGAGGCCGAAGACGGCGACACACCGGATCTTTGCACAATGCCAGGGGGTCTCCCCTGTGGACGCCCGAAATGGGTACCGAAAAAATGGGTACAATGCCCAACAGCAAATGTGGTCGCAAACCAACAGCCGCCGCTGTCGGGCAGGCGGCCCTCTGCCTCAGATGGACACAGGCCGCGGCGGCGCGGACAGCGAACCCTGGCCAGAGTGAGCAGGAACTGCTGGTGGGCATGGTGCCCAGACCCCCGACGTCATGATTTTTTCATGAC